CACATATCTTCAAATAGAAGATTATTCACATCTTTTAGAAAAGGCAATCGCAGCCACGTAAGGATGGAGAATGGAAGACTTTCTAAGACTAAAGGGATTGGAAATATACGATTGAAGACCAATAATGTGACTGAGTTATTACTGCGAGATGTTAGGTATGTACCCAGTATCAGAATGAACATTATCTGTACAGGTAAGTTGGACGATGATGGTTATCAGAGTGAGTTTGGTGGGAACCAGTGGAAGCTCACAATCTAAGTTGGTGGCAGTTGGCCATAGAAGATCTACAGTTTACACGTCGCAGTTGAGTGTTGCCAAAGGATCATTGAAACAGTTGATGCAAGTTGCAGATGGTATCCAAAGAGGTAGGACTGAGCCAACAACAAAGACAACCATTACAAATCAGGAGGATCTACCATCAATTTAGGAACAACAATTGGAAGTCAAAGAACGAGAACATGTTCTTTAGGTTGTCAGGGATTATCCCCAGTTGTCAGACGGATGGGTGAATTGATGAAGTCGTGTCAGTGAACAGTTGCATTATAGAAGATGAACCCAGTAGGTGTTGAGGTAAATAATGGAGTTTCAATTCTGGCAGTAGGCTTCAATAGAGTTTTCAAGTCATCAGTGGGAAGTTCTTCCTTCAATAATCAGTGTTTGAGAACGAAGAAGGAAGCTTCAGATATCGCCACTTAGTTTTAGTAGGAGCACGTGGTTGTGTCTCTTGCGTATGGGAGACAAGACCACGTAGATTGCCCGACCTCAGGGCAAAGACAGATAAGACCAATGATTTCTGATATTTTGTTTTACAAGTTTTTAAACTTGCAGGAGAATCCTTGAAGATTTTTTCAAGAAGATCAGAAGTTGTTGCAATAGAAGCCTTGGAGTTTTCCAAGATTATCAGAGACTATTATTGCAGTGGGAGGCAAGATCGATGTTTTATCTCCAAATGGGAGATTGTTGGGATAATGGAGCCAAAACAAATGATCTGTGTCCTACGAGGAAAAGGATTTTCAACACTACTACCAATTCCTACAAGGAGTAAGATATTATTGTCTTATAAGAATTACAATATTGTTTTCCTATTAGGATTGAGATATTTGACATCTTATAAATAGAATCTTTCTGTTAAGGTTTCATCTGTACATAATCCAAATAAGAGAGACTTGAGTGGTTATGGGCAGTGTGTGAAAAGAAGTTTGTATCTGATGGGTTTAGTGAGCGTATTTCCAATTGTGTAATCCTAGGTAGCCATTGTAATGATGCATAGAAGCAAGATAGTAATATCTTGAGTGAGATCTCCATTGTAATATTCTCTACTATAGTTGAGCCTGCTTTTTCGCAGAAGACTCGACGTAGCCCAAGATAGGGGTGAACCAATATAATGCCGGTGGTGTTAAGCTTTTCTATCCCCCATCTTTTATTCCTTTTTTATTGTTACTTATATGCTTTTAGTCTGTTGAAGGGGAAAATCAAATAGTTCTTGTTTGAAGAGCTTACAGGATGATCGATCTATCTATTTTTTTTTCCCAGATCCTCCAATACCTATTGAAATTTTTGGGTATGTATTAAAATAGATTATTTTTCTCTCTTCTTATCAATTCTTAACCATGGTCAATATCTTAGTCTTGCTAGTGAGATTTTAATAGTTCGAAAATTTATCATATGAATGCATATCTTAATCCTCCTAGTAAGATTTTAATCTATAGTTCGAAAATTTGTCATATGAATGCAGTTTCTAATTATTTTTATCCATGAGTATAACACCTCATCAGAGTCGTTATTTTTTCTATTCAAGAGTCTGTGATGATTGAGGAATTTTGAATTTGAAATTTTTATTTAAATAATTGATGGAGTGGTATTTATCATTAATTATTATTCACTTTCAATTAAATTAAAGGATGGGGTGAAGCTAAGTGTTACTAAGTAAATTCTAAGCGACATGCATTCCAGGTCCAGTGAAACCCTGGGGTTCGTATGGGAAACATATAGCGGAGGAGGCGTGTGTCCGAATCTTTGACACGATGATCATCGAGAATGATGATGCTTCTTTCTGTTAGGTATAGAGGGAAGAGGAATTAAGAGTATGCAAAATCTATAAGCGCAATATTAGAAGTTTGGTCTAGTTTACTAACCATCAATCACAATATGTAGTCAAAGTGAAAATCAATTTAAACGAAATCAATCGAAATGAGAATATTATTTATTTTACTTATTATAAATTTTTTGAATCAAAATTAGAAGCATGTTTACTAAAACCATTTAGAATATCAATCAGACCTATCTAAAACTATCATAATAAGAACTCAAATTTTGTAGAACACCCATACGTATAATAATTATGTAGAGCACTCATTTCTTATTTCTAGTTATTTATAAATACATTAACTAAATAAAATAGGATGCTAATATTAATTTTAATTAAAAAATAATAAATTTTAATTTATTTGATATTAATAATTTTATTTTAACTATTTATTTAATATTAACAAATAATAAATAATTAAAATAATTTGTATCTACTAAAAATATTAATATAATTTTTATGACAACAATTCATATGATTAAATTTCATTGTTATAAAATGAATTCTACTCCAAACCATTTTATTGATATTAATTAACAATAACGAAGTAAAATTAAATAAATGGTAAATTAGATAGAATTTTTAATATTTTATAATAACACTATATCAAATTAATGAAAAAAAGAAAAGCAATAGACCAAAAGGATTTGCTCAAGAAAAAATTATCATGGATTAATTCAATAGTCATGCGAGTAGGAATGAGTTCAAACTTTATTATACTCTTTTTAGAATTAATTTTCGAATTGATTAAAATAATTAGTGAAAATATATAAAATCTACGAATAAGGAACGAAATGGAGTATTAAACTTGTGAGCTTAGAAGGGGTAGAATATAATATTAAAGCTGTCGGTGGAATTTGTCCCTTCTTGGCTGCCCTTCGCAATCACTAAAATAAATGGGATAAATACGCAAAGAAAGAAAAAAGTGTGGTTCTTTTACCAATTTGCCAATTCAAAAATCAGATGAGAGAAGCTCATATGAAAGAGGGAGAGAGATGAGAGTGTGGGATTAATTTGTTGGATAAATATCTAAAATTTATTTCATACCATAATTATCTTTTAGCCATGAACATAGAGACTTATATTGAGAATTATAGCTCAACTTCTTGTCCCACTTGAGATAAATAAATAAAGAATCATCATTTTGTATTCAATGAGAATCAATGAAAAAGATCATCCTCGATTGTACTAGACTATTTACTCGAGGGAAGACAAGAGACTCGAACAATATATAATATATGTTTAGAATTATAATCGTGAATATATCTATATGTTATATCCCAAAAGTTTTTTATATTTAATCTCCGTTAAGATCAACGAGCTAGTTTATGCTCAAAATGAACCACACTACTGTATGGAAAGTTTGTAGTTCATCATCACCAATGCACTTTGATGCAGGAATTTGGATCCATGTTTCCATGATAAAATAGAAATCTATGTACTGGTGTGGTACTAAGTCCAACAAACTTTGATACCTAAATTAGCAAAATGTTTTTTTTAGAGTAGCAAAAGTGTGATCGTCAAATGTACTTCATTGCCCAAGGCCTCTCCTTTAATTTATATAAAGTGTCTTCTTAGGTTGTGGTTTTGGTGGATTAGGTCACTTCGACTTGGTCGGGTGCTCATCTCTAACAAAGCCCTGTTAATATGTCAATTTAATTTGTTACACAATATGAATTAATTAAATTAAGGGTAAAATATATTTTTATCGTTGAGTTTGGAAATAAGTTTTTATTTGATCCCTAAATTTCAAAAAGTGATAGTTTGGTCTACAACTTTTAAAAAATAGTTTTAAAATATCCCTGAGATTAAACTTCCGTTATTAACCCTAACGAAATGCTAGCGTGACGTGATGGGTTAGATATTTATTTATTTTATATTACTTTTAACATATGTGTCATTTTTTTTCATTTCCATTTTCTTTCTCTCTCTTCCCCTGTTTCCGTCCTCGCCCTCTTTCTCTCTTCCCTTCTTCCATATCCCTGGGGACCTCTGGTTCCCTCCTCCTCCCACTTGATTTTGATTCATTATCGTCATCGACAGCCTCCGATGAACACCACTCGCTTCCTCTGTCGCTCCAGTGCTGCCGGTCGCCAACAACCACCCGAACTACCTAGCCACTGGATCGAAAAACCCAGTGCCAGCTAGACCGAACCCCATCTCTGGATCTGTGCATTTGTGGATCTATTTGGGGTTGGCTGTGCATTCGTGGATTTGTTCAGGCGTTGGTTGTGCACTCGTGGATCTGTTGGTGCTCAGATCTGCTTGTGGTTTCCCTGTTCGTGTTCGATTCTGGTTATGCCATCGAGGCACCGGATTCGACGTTGCGGCGGAGGGAGAAGCGATTGGTGTTGGTTGGAGGCCGTCGATGACGATAATGGGTCAGAATCAGGTGGGAGGAGGAGGGAAGAAGGGGGGAGAGGAAGAGATAGAGGAGGGAAAGAGGGGAAGAGAGAGAGACAGAAAAATAGAATGAAAAATAAAAAAAAAATGACACATATGTTAGAGTAAGATAAAATTAAATAAATATCTAATTCTCCCAGCCACGTCAGCATTTTTCGTTACGGTTATTAAGGAATTTAACTCCACACGTTTTAGAACTATTTTCTAAAGATGAACGACAAAACTGTCGCTTTTTTAATTTAAAGATCAAATAGAAACATATCTCCAAATTCATGAATGACTAGAAGTATATTTTATCTTGAATTAATTTGAACCAAACTATATAAAAAATAATTATATCCATTTTGACATAATTCTTTAGTTTCGCAAGCCTGGATGTGTTGTCTTTCAAGATCTTTCACTTATTCAACCAAACAGATGTAACCTACTATTATCACCGAACAATTTGTAAGTCTAGCTAGCTAGCTTATCTCTCTATGGTTTGCAATATAATACAATGATTAAGATTTGAAGTCCAATAGCGCACGTTTTGTTGTTGAGGCAGTTTCTTCTTCTTACCTGTCTCTTTATAAGGCCAACTTGGGAGTGCAACTTTGATCAGTAACCAAATTTAGATGGCTTCAAAATATGGTAATGTTGTCTTCTGTTTTAGATTGGTGCTTCTTCTTGTGTTTGTATTTGCAGAGGCTGCGCCCAACACACCAAGCAAATCCATTAAAGCTATCAAGCGAAGAAGCTTCCCGAAAGGCTTCGTTTTTGGCACAGCATCTTCGTCTTATCAGGTGGAGAAAAGTCCATAATGTTCGTTTTATAAACCCGAATTTGAAACAAAGTAAAGATCAGTGAATGACTTTGGCTTTGGCTTTGACATTGTTTTGTTGTTTTTTATAGTATGAAGGTGCTGCTTTTGAGCATGGAAAAGGACCAAATATTTGGGATAACTATACTCATCAATACCCAGGTCTCTAAATTCTCTCTCTCTTTCTTTTGTGTTTGAATAATTATGCTATGATGGTCGTGATAGATGAAAAAATAAAAAGTAACCCAATTTTGTTTGTTCAATTGTAGAGAGAATTGTCGATCACAGTAATGGAGACATAGCTGTTGATTCATACCACCGCTACAAGGTAAGCATGATATTAGCAAAACATAAGAGAAAATTAAGGAGCATTTAATTAATTTATAGATTGGATTAGATCAAAATATGTCTTTTTTAAGTACATGAGTTAGTTAATTAATCCTGATTTAACAAAGTTACGGTAGATTTAAGATACAAGTTTGACAAAAATCACATCGAACACATCCAATCAAAAGAGACATCTTCAAAAGTGTTTTCAAACAGAACATATTGGGGAGAGGATACCCATTCTTACTTGAATAAAAAATAGATGTGTTTTGTTGTGTTTGGAGGGAATTTCACTTCAACATATGGACAAAAAAGAAGAGAGATAATAGGTGCAAAGAGACCACTTTGGACCACAATATTTATGGAAAGGAATACTACAACACACACAAAAACAAAAGCAAAAGGCAAAAGGAAAAAAAAAAAAAAAACACGTTTGGAGATTGGCATACAATAACGAGTGTTAATGAATAAATAATATTAGTGAATATTAGCACTCACGGGTGTGGCGGAGTGGTCCTAAAGACGGGAGATTGATATCCAATGTCTAGATTCGAGTCCCACATTCATTTGTGTTGGGTACTTTGATGATGGCCATAGATGCCCGAATTGATTGGGTGTCCTACACGGGGTTAAGCGAAATAGGAATTGATTGTAAATTCAAAATTTTTTGCCGAAACGAGGTTTCATGTGACTTGAATTCAAGATGTCAAGAATATTCTTTGAGGTCTCAAACCACTCAAGTTATCCCTTGGAGACTAAACAAACAAACAAGCATTTAATAAGTTAGTGAATTAGGAATACGGGTGAATCCATGATAGTAGTATGATATATTATCGGGCTTGACACACGTACTTTGTTATTTTTGCAATTATTTTTCCTGACCGAGAGGGTTTGCTAATTTTGCACACAACCCAAAATATTGTTCTATTTTTGTATATTATAAATGCATGTGTAAGAATTTGAACCTCCAACAACTTTAAAAGAAGAGTTAGATGTTTTAATCATCTGAGTTATGTTAAAAAAAAATTTTAAGAAAATTTGATTAGTACCTTTTTTTGTTTAAATTCAGGAAGACATTGCCATTATGAAACAAACAGGTTTGGATGCTTACAGATTCTCAATCTCATGGGCTAGAATTTTACCAAGTAAGAAATTAAATAGTCACAATATATATTTGATAATTATGATTGATGGCTTTTTTTTTAACCTCGGATCTTGAAGGAATGAAGAGATACAATTTTCTTTTGAACTAGGTTGACATGATTTTATTTTTATTTTTTTAACCACTAATATATGGCTTAAGTCTCAAAAGAAATATATTTTTGAAAAACAAAACTTAATGTTAACAATCGTAATCTACTTAATTTACTTTAATCTTCCAACATTTTAAATATACTTTCTGTTCTTATTAATGCAGAAGGAAATCTTAGTGGTGGTGTAAACAAAGAAGGAATTGAGTACTACAACAACCTCATCAATGAGTTGCTTGCAAATGGTTGGTATTATTGTAATATTTAGATTGATTTTATTGGTTAATTGGTAATTAAATATGGTTAATTATGACTATATATTATCAATCAAACCCTTCTGATTTGGATTTGTAGGCATCCAACCTTACGTTACACTTTTCCATTGGGATGTTCCCCAGGCCTTACAAGATCAATATCAAGGCTTCATGGGTCGTCAAATTGTGTGAGTAAATTAGGCCTCATTTGATCGCACGGTTTCATTTGAGATATTTACATAAAATAGTATAAAAAATAAATAAATATTTTTAAATATAGCAAAAATTTTAAAATTTTATAAAAGTAGTCATGATATATTTTAATCAAATTAAAATTATAACAAAAAGAAAAATGAACTCAAACTCAAAGGTAATATAAAACACACTAAAGAAAATAACATTTATACTGTATTTAAATTAAGAAATGTGAAAAGTTGGTGACACACAATCAGAGGTGACCAATGTTATGTTATATTTTATAAGAATTATTTTGATCATGTAGAATAGTTCTTGAACACTTTTTTAAAATTGTGAGTAGAGAATAACTTTAATTGTTTTATAAGAAAATAACCTTTACTCCCTAAAATAAATGAAAGAAAGAAATTTGGGAAAAATATACTTTTACTCTATAAAATTTGAGTTCATTATCTACTTGGTCATTGAAATTTTAAAATAATTAATCACTTTTAGTCTATAATTTCCGAAAAATAGTTAGAAATGAACACTGAAAAATAGTTAGAAATGAACACTTCTTTGAAGTGACTCCTCTACAACGAATGTCGTATAATTCTTTGTTTGTGGATCAACCATTTAAACAATAATGTAGTAAAACAAGACTATTTAAAAAAATAATTAATCCAGACTATTAAAAAATAATATATTTAAAAATTATTATACAATTCATTGGTTGAAATATTATTCATTCCTTGTTGACCACGAGTTGAGCCTTGTTTTCATCACTTTTCTCTCCCACCTCCTTATTTTGATATTTTTTCTTATATTATTGTATTGATAGTGTTTTTTTTTTTCTTTTTTTAGCCCAACGATTTAGGGATGTGGACATCGAACATCGATCTAAAAAATGAATAAATGTCAATTATTACTAAGCTATGTTCATGTTGGCTTGATAGTATTTTGTTTTGTTTCTCGATTGCACTACAAAATTAATATAAAATCTTACTTAAATTGTTTATCTATGAACATATTTTTAATATTAAATATTTGTCTGAGTATTTTTAAAAGTTTGTCAAAAGACAAAATAATAATAATAATAATAATAAATAAATAAATAAATGGCAAGCAGACAATAATTTTTTTTTTAAATAAACAAACACAAGATTTACCATAAATTTCCTCAAAAAAATTGATTGCACCAAAACGAAATAAAAGTAAAAATTTAATTGCAGGAATGATTTTCGGGACTATGCGGAGCTTTGCTTCAAGGAGTATGGAGACCGAGTCAAACACTGGATCACCTTAAATGAGCAAGTCACCTTCGCCCTACAAGGTTACGTAATAGGAAAAAATGCACCAGGAAGATGTTCAAAATGGTTCAATTCTAATTGTATTGGCGGTGATGCTGGCACTGAACCATATATTGTTGGTCATAACTTAATTCTTGCCCATGCTAATGCTGTCAAAGTTTACAAGACGAGATATCAGGTTTTTTTCAAATCTCTAACTATAACGACTATACTTAGTTGGATGGTTAGGCTGATGGAATATCAACCATTTAATTTGTCAAAAATAAGAGATATATATATAATATATTTTCAACATTCTCTTCACAAATGATGTACAGTTATTAAATTGCATTCATATACTTGTACTACTTTTAGTATTAAAAATTTGTGTTTAACAGGTTATCTTAGATTTTAAAAAGTGTCCAATAAACCTTAAAAACTTTCAACTTGGTGTCTAATAGGGTTTTCAACTTTAAAATGCTTAATAAGTTCTTAATCTTTCAATTCTCTATCTAATAAATCTCTGGCATATTTGATTTTTTCAAAATTAATGGATCTATTAGACATAATATTGAAGTTTGTGTCTAATAATAGAATCATAATAAGTTTTAATTTTATGTCTAATAAATTCGTGAATTTTAAGAACTGTTTATTAGGTCAATGATGTATTACAGACAAAATTATTGATAGTTTACGAATCTATTAGACACAAAATTGAAAGTTAATGATTCTATTATACACTATTTAATGTTCAATGACCTATTAACACAAAATTAAAAGTTCAAAACATATGTTAGTTATAAAATAAAAAGCTGTTTATCACTAATATTATCAAAATTCAAACTATTATTTGTTGAGTCTTGGACTAAATTTAACTATTTCATAACTTTTCATCCAATGTTATAATATTGAATTTGCAGAAAGAACAAAAGGGTGAGATTGGCATCACATTGGTGTCCGCTTGGTTTGTCCCATATTCAGATACTCGGGCAGACAAAGAAGCTGCAAGTCGAGTTCTTGATTTTTCTTATGGTTGGTAAGTAAATTTAATGCGACCGACCCGAGCATAGTTTAAGTAGTTAAGCTATATATTTTAAATAAGACGATCGTGGGTTCGAATTTCCACACCCTCACGTTGAACCTTATGTACAATTACTTCATTAAATTTTTAAAAATTTTGTCTTAAATTAGTCAACCTGAACATAACTCAAATTGTAACAACAATGATAGGTTTTTGCATCCGCTCGTGTACGGAGATTATCCACCCGTCATGAGAAGCCATGTAAAGGATAGATTGCCCAAATTCACAAAGGAAGAAACTATTTTGACCACGGGATCGTATGATTTTCTTGGAATCAACTACTACACAGCTAATTATGCAATAGACACTTCCAATTCTACCCCACCTGGTCTTCCACCGCACTACCTAATTGATATTGCTGCAAATGTTACAAGTAAGCACTTAAATTAATCATTGTTTTATTTAATATTTTAAAAGTATTTTCTAACTCTTTAAATTTTTTGGCTAAATATATGTCTCAGTTCTTTATTTTGGTACTTTCTCTAATTTTTTTAATCCCTTATATTTTAATATTTTTTAATCATATATCATCTTCGATGGATGTTAAAATTGATTAATGATAAAATTAATGATATGATACTAAGTTAGCATGAATTTAGAGAAAGAATTATTAAAAAATTGGAAGAAATTACTTTGATTGGGTGACCTAATTTCTACTCTAAATAATGAGTATTGAAGTAGTTTTAAAATTATAATTGAAAAGATCTTTTACCAAAGCAATTTATGACAGCCAACTCCCAAGTATATTTAATTTCATCTACACCAATGAGTAGTTTTCAAATGAAATACTTGAATATTCTCTAATTAGATGTACTTTGTATAATGTTTTCGGGGTTGCAGCTGATCGTGATGGCATCTCAATTGGTCGAAAGGTAGTCAATTTTTAACAATAATATGCATTTCTCAATTATAATATTTGATTATTTTTGTTTAATTTGGTCATGCCTTTTATTAAAATCTAAATTAAGTTGATGTCATTTTCCCTTTCTTAATTATCGATTAATTTGCTAATTAATTATGTTGTAACAATGTCTTTGTAGGTGAATGATTCATCTTGGCTTGCAGCTTATCCACAAGGATTGAGAGAAGTATTGTTATACACAAAAAATAACTATAAAAATCCAATTATCTACGTCACAGAAAATGGTATTAAAAAATAATCTCCCTTTCATATGAAGAAAACAAATATGCCTATAATTAATTAAATTGTACATTTTGCAGGATGGCTTGACTATGATAGTTCTGATCATGTGGAAGAACTAATTCATGATAATGGAAGAGTCAAATACTTTCATGATCATCTCCTTTCTCTTCGCGAAGCAATCAAGTAAGTAACTAAAACAAAAGATCCTCTTTTATCATAAAAGTCTTCTCCTCGATGCATCATGAGGCCTTAATTTTATGAAAATATTGATGTCGATCAAATATTGAGGTCTCAATTTTATGAAAATATCGATATCGATAGATATTTCTGAAAAAAAAATACAAAAATAATATATATTTGTAACAAATAAATATTATCTCACACTTTTTTTAGTATAAATGTGGGGATGGAGGATTGAAACTCCGTCCTCCAAGGGAAGAAGAGCAAAATGCCTTTAATTGTTGAGTTAAGCTCAATGCTGTGTGTACCACCATTTCTAAATAAGTTAAAAATTATTAATATGAACATATATCTATATTAGTGATACTAAATTGATATTTTTTTAAATACTTTATCGATTTCTCTACGATGCTATAGAAATGTAGATTTACGTCACGTGACCATGGCATGCCCATTGACATACGGAGAAGTTATCGAAATTTAATATGCGGATGATAAGTTTTACCTTTTTTTTTTCCTTTTTGGTGACAAAATTTTCCATCTATTACAGGGCTGGTGTGAGGGTAAAAGGATATTTTGCATGGTCGTTGTTGGACAACTTTGAATGGGCAGATGGATATAGCATGCGCTTTGGTCTCGTCTACATTGATTTCAAAAACAACTTGAAGAGAATTCCAAAGCTCTCACTCAAATGGTTCCAAAATTTCCTCAAGAACTGATGGTATATGTATGTTTCACCAATCAGTTCATGTTATATATTTGCTCTACTCTATTATGTTATGTATTATATTGTAACCTTCTTGATGTACTATCACATGTTATGTCTTATCTTACCTATTTCTCGATGTTTTCTCTTAGTTGTTCGATAATTAAAATAAACTTTCATCGTGTTATTCTTATTATTTTTTTTTAATTTAGCGTCATGCGGAGTGATCAAAGATATGTTTTTAACTAGTTGAGACCTATGTTCAAGTTTGTTTTTCTTTTCTTATTTTCTCACTATTCTTGAATATATATGTGTGACAAATTCTATGATTTTTTTTAATGTGATAAATCTGCTAATTAATATTATTTCAATCTAAATTAATATTAAATGTGTTAATATCCTACCTTGAAAAGAAAATGGACCTTACAATAGTTTCTAATAGACTTAGACTACTCTTCTTATTGTCAATTGGTTTTGAGATGAAATTCCATGCATATTAATATGATATATCAGAACCCAAAACGTTAAAAAACGAACATGCAGTCCAAAGAAAGTTTCATCATCTTTTTTTCAATGCATTTCAATGATTCTGTTTTGAGCCTGAAGATTGAGAGAAAGTAAGTGGGAAGATTTGAAGGATGGCTTAAGTTCTTGTATTAGTATTATTTTCAATTAGAACAATAATTAATTTTATCGGTCATAAATACTTTTTTAACAATAATAGATAATTAAAAAGAAATTACATCAACTATATATACTAAAAATCTCTTTTTTATTTAAATGTAAGAACATGAGGGAACCAAAATTTAATTAAGTTCAAGTTTGACATTTATAATCTTCCTCTAATTATTAGCCAATTATATTGACCAAGACTTGGAGATTTCTTATGGGGGAAGGATAGTCTATGGGTTTCTCTAATATCAGATGGCCCACCCGAAGAACAGACACTTCACAAAGCTTTGGCGCCAACTTCTCTCTGCGACGCTTCCCTCTGGCTAACGCCGTCCTGCATCGATAAGTATTTGAATTTTATGTTTTTAGTTAATTTTTGCAACAATTTTTTTTAATACCACTGTGGACCACTTGCTCAACTCCAATCAACTCCAAGGAATTCTTTGGGACAACTTTCACCCAAAATGTTAGTTTTTCCATTTTTATTCGGTTATTTTATTTCAGGACCATCTAATTAACTTTTTTATATCATAATTAGCTATGTCTTCTGTAGCATTGTGTGTATATAGATTACATATTGTGTAGTTTTATGTTTCTATTATATTGATTTTCAGTTTTTTTTTTTATATTGATTTTGTTGTTTTTATTTTTTATTATACGTTTATTTAGATAGGTTAATTATAATAGATTTAGAATAGTTACCTACATTAAATTGATATGTTCACTAACTAGTTTGGAAATTATATAACTAGTGTATACCTATTTTAACAAAGTTAGATAGTTAATTGGTAATTAGGATTTATCACTATTAATTACTGAAAAAACACTTTTTAATTATTTTTTTATTAATTTATCTAATTAGATTTAGTTATCCTATTTAACGTCTGTTTGTTCTATTTTATGATAGAATATGACAGCTAAATGTTTGGTAATCGGTGCGTTAAGCAAGCTAAATGTTTGGTGGTTGTTTTGAATATGAATAGTTGTATGGTCGAAAGTGTAAATGGGGTTGAATTTGATCGATCGCCATGTGAAGGTTTCATTGTTAATAGTGGTATTGAGTTTAGACATTTTGTTGACATGGTTGGATTAGCATTGAACGTAGATGTGAACGATAATGAATTAGAAATAGTTTATAGATATCTCTACTACCACACCTTCAGGATCAAATAGGTTCATTCCCATTCCAATCTCAAACAACCACTATCGTAGCATAGTTGGCTCTGTACAATACTTGACCCTCACACGTCCAGATCTTTCTCATGTTAATCGAGTTTGTCAAAAGCTCTAGGCTCCAACTAAGGGAGACTTGAGAGCTGTCAACCGAATATACTTCGATACATTAAAGGCACTATAGACTATGGTCTTCCAATCTTGAAAAATAGCACCTCTAATCTCTATGTTTTTTGTGATTCAGATTGGGCTGGAAGTACTACAACTAGACGCAACACTACTAGCTTCTGCATCTTTCTTGGGGTCAAATTGAATTTCTTGGTCTTCGAAAGAAACAGACAACAGTGGCCAGGTCAAGTGCAGAAGTTTAGTATCATGTTATGGCAAGTGCTACTGCTGAACTTATATGGATCACCTGATTGTTTCGTGACCTTGCCATGACACTTTACCACACTCCCCAACTCTTGTGCGACAATCTTAGTGCTCTCTACATGACTGTGAATCCAGTGCTCCATGCATGAACCAAACACATTGAACTTGATTACCATTTTGTTCAAGAAAAAGTGTCAAATGGCTCTCTCAATATTACTCGCTTTATGCCTTCCGATAAAAAAGTTAGCTGATATTTTTACTAAACCACTAATGCCTGCTTTCATCAACTGCGAAGCAAACTTGGAGTTCAAGCTTTGCAACACTCCAATTTGAGGAAGGATATAAGAGACCAAATAAAATGATTTGTGCCACCTCAAAAATCTCGTCGTACATACCAGCACAATTGATATATATAAAGCATCAAATCAGTAAAATATTATGCGGTTGTAATATAAAATGCAGCAGAATATTTTGCTTCCTAATTCACAGTTGGAATCCTTTTCTCTCATCGTATCTCTCATTTTATTATTGTGTCTCCTTCTTTATTTTAACATGACAGTAGCTTCAGACCCCTCTGTATAAGTTGAGTTTATCTCTGCTCTGGTAAAAAATCAAATTTTCAAGTGAGAATTACTTTGTGATTTATCTATTGAGATTGGTTTGTTCAAGGTTCATAAAAATGCAAATGACATTGCCCTCTCTCAAGGTAATTACACTCGTGAAGTACTTGCGAAGGCCCAAATGTTAGAAGCCTCATAGAACACTACTCCCATACCGACTTTTGTTATAAGCCAAGCAAATGATATGAATCTTGTGAATGCCAAAGAATACAAAAGTCTAGTTGGGTCATTACAATATCTATACTCTCATTGGACCAGACATAGTACAGGCAGTGAATCGTGTGTGCTAGCATCTCCAACAACCAACACTCAAGGATCTTAAACCAGTCAAGAGAATCCTAAGATACTTGAAAGACACCGGTAATTATGGTATCACTTTTTACAAAAATAGTACTCTAAACTTATATGCTTTTTCTAATGCCAGGGAAGGTGTTCTTTAACACATCGAAGCACCACTGGATTTTGTGCCTTCATTGGATCAAATTGCATCTCATGATCTTCCAAAAAGCAACCAACAGTCGCCCGATCAAGCCTCGAAGTTGAGTATCGAGCAATGACCTCAATAGTAGTTGAACTAACACGAATCATGTTTCTTCTTCGCAATATGGGCATACCACTTCACAAGGCACCTCAACTATTATATATGTGACAACATAAGTGCACTCCATATGTCTATAAACCTTGTATTTCATGCTCGCACAAAACATATTGAGGTGGATTATCACTTCGTGCGAGAGAGGGTGGCACTTGGATCTCTTATTAACTACTTACGTGCCCTCACGCCAATAAATTATAGATATCTTCACCAGGCCATTGGCAAAGAACACTTTCAAAGATCTCTGAAACAAACTAGGTGTTCATTCATCACTGACACCAGTTTGAGCAAGCATATTAAACCAAATACATTAGTATACTATCAATATTCTCCTCAGCAAATTGGCAGTAAATATATTGGCATTTATGAATCACAATCTCAACAAATATCAGCCACAATATCAGCAAATATATTTGCATTTATGAGTCACAATCTCAACAAACATCAGCAAGTTTCTTTGCAAATTTATCCTCATTTATGTGAGTACAAACTTCAAGGTTGATTTTGGAACTTTTGCTTAAATCCTTTTAATTACTTACCTAAATAGGTGGACTAAATTGGGAAACAACATTCAAGCCTTTTTACGGTTGGACCTTACTCCAAGCTGTCATATGACCTCAATAGATTTATGGTCTTTCCTAGTTTACGTCTAACCACCTTTTGTCCTTTGTGTCATAGTTATATGTATTGAGTTTAGCTGAAGGTTATGTACCAAGGTAATATAAAATCACTCTGTTTTTCAAACTTTGAGCACCTTGCTAAATTGTTTATGGTATCAGAGCCTAGAGCCTTGACACAAAGGAAAGAAACTAACTCATTCCAAAGTTTCAAAGTTTTGTATCATGGCCAAAACTTCAAGATTCTTTGACAATCCAAATTTTCCACAAATGTTCCAGCCTCATCTCAATCAAGTTGAAGTTCTCCAATTATCTCTGGTGGAAATCACAAGTTCTACCTTTGATTAGGAACTTGAACATTAAGGATCATTTGGAGCAAGAAAAGACAACCGATGAAGTAGTTGAAAATGGAACCGAGAAGAACAATCCTCAATCAAGCACATGGAATAATAACGACGACCTGCTGACATCTTGGCTGCTAGTAATCGTCGCAGAAGATGTGTTGGCAATGATAGAGGGAATCGAGACTGCTTAGCAGGTATGGTCTTTTCTGGAAGGATTGCTCTTAACAATGACTAAAGAAAATGAAATTCATCTCAATGAAGAACTAATAAGCTTGAAAAAGGTAAACATGTCATTAGATAAGTATATAAAGAAGTTGAAAGGTATTTGTGAATAAGTTGGTAGCTTTGAACAAATCTGTAGATGATGTCACAGAAGTTTTTCATCTGGCTCGAAGGTTGGGAGTGAAATATAAAGAATATCACACAACAATGCTCACAAAGCCACCTTATCCTACCGATAACCAATTTGTTCTTGACTTAAAAGCATATGAACAGAAGTCGTCTTATGAGGAAGAAGAAGAAAAACCCAACCAAATCAACCACAACCAAGTTGATATTTGTTGAGATTGTGATTCATAAATGCCAATATATTTGCTGACAATTTGTTGAGGAGAATATTGACAGTATATCAATGTATTTGGTTTAATATCACGAGCTGTTATGGGGTGACGCTCGAGACCTACAAGATCTTTTTTTTTTTCACAACAATTAATATGTTATGAAAAGGTTCTTGAGATACGGCATGAAAAAGTCACAATATTAAAAAAACAAGGCGTGAGAATGATTAGTTAGATAAATTTGTATAGGCTATTTGTTGTACTATCATCATTCTTTATAATAAACTAATCAAATAAACCTATGTTGAATTCAATTGATAATTCCTTAACATCAATGACTACGATAGCATTCAAATAATATTAATGATTGTCAAACCAAGAAATCAAACAGACCAAACAATAAAAAAGAAAAAGATAGTTTATTTTATTCACCACCAACACAAACATCAAAAAGTTACTTAAGAAAAGACGAGGTTTCGTTATTGCAAAGTTGTTTAATTTAGTTGCTTCTCGCAGTAGTTGCAGAAGGTTGCAATAAAAAAATTAACATAACAAATAGAGCAGATAACGGGTGGTGGCGTAGTGGGTTTGTGGTCGAATAAAGCAAATAATCCGAGCTTTTCCTGCATTCGAAAACGAGTCTGCAGCGTCACAAATAAAGCAAATAAGGTAGAAATTAGTTTGTGTGTATGATGTTCAGTTGTTGAGGAAATTGTTGAACCATCTAGCCGAATCTTTTGGCATTCTCAATGAATGGTGCTCGAAATCAATATAAGTGAGCCCAAAGCGTAGGGTATATCCACTTGCCCATTCAAAATTGTCTAACAATGACCAAGCAAAGTATCCATTCACCCTCACACCAGCTCTGTAATTTTTTCCAAAATTTCGTTAAGAACAGTGATTAACTACAAATATGACGTATAATTAAAACAGTAGCTAGAAAAGTTACGCAAAAGAAAAAAAAAAGCTCTACACAAGATGTTTGTTTTGAGATATTCTAAGATTTTCGTGAGATGAGTATCTAGATTCTCATGTTTGTTTTACATGAATATTGGATATCTTAACATTTTTGTAGATGTTTGGATATCTTAGGATGTCCTTCCATGAGGCAACTAAACAATTTTGGATATGGCTCCCCAAAACGTGGGTTTTTAAGATTTTCATGTTGAGGCATGCCGTTTTAACAATTTTATCCTTCATTTTTATTCTATTTTGAGAAAAAGACAAAGACACCTCTCCTTCAAAATGTACGTGAGAAACATATCTAAGAGAATACTATATCATTTTTTATTTATTTAAAAATAACTTAATGCATGGATCCATTTGACAAATTACTATATATACAATTATATTTATATGCTCCATTGAAATATAAAATAAATTTTAGTCAGCGGTTAATATATCTTAATTTATTTTCAATGGGAGTCTAGGGTGCAATCTTTGAACTATATTTAAAATATATATTTTAACATTTGAATTATATCAATAAGAGTATCGTTGAAACACTACGTAATTTTAATACATTCCTAGCTTTGCAAAACAAACATAGTTATATTCACGTATTTTAAAAACATTTATAAATATTCATACAAAGCCTAATTATATAAGCCGTTAAACATCTATAAATTCAGATATCCAATATCTCGAACATGTAAAAGTATCAGATATCTAGATCCTAAAATAATTATAGAAAGAACAACTAAAACTCAGCCATAAAGAAATTAACTAAAACTCACAACACTATTTTAATTGAAACTAGTTTATTGAAGAAAAAAGAGAAATTTTCTTTTTTGTTTAGTTACTTACTTGATTGCTTCATGAAGATTATATAGATGGTCGTGAAAATATTTGACTCTACACTTATCTCTAATTAAATCTTGAACATGGTGGCTGTTATAGTCAAGGTATCCTGCCATGTAAATTCAATAAATGAATAAGGTAAAATTATTATATAGTAATATTTTTGTTAATTCAAATAAAAAATGAAAATATTTTTACCATTTTCTGTGATGTAAATAATTGGATTTTTATAATTATTCTTTATATAAATCAACAACTCTTTTAATCCCTTTGGATATACAGCAAGCCAAGATGATGGGTGTGCCTACAAATATATATATGGTTAACACATAAGTAGAAAGTTATTAGATTAAAAATGAAAAATGGATTTAGGAAAGCACACTATTGATAAAAATCATTTTTTAGGAGAATTTGAACATTAATTAATTACCTTTGGACCAATTGGAACTCCATTATGATCAGCTACAATTCAAAGATATTATACAAAGTTAGAATTATAAAATAAATGTTCAAATGTTTCATTTGAATGAGAAAAATCTCCAAATTGAATATAGATCATGAATCAAAAGTTTATTTCAGATCAACTTTAACTTTTAAGTTATCACTTTTTTAGCTGGCAATTTTCTTATAAAAATAGAAATATAGAAATTAAGAAAAACACTATATTTTTTTCTTGGAAGCTCTCATGTGAATCATCATTAAAGATGTGGGTTTTTTTTTTTTTTTAACAAATTAGAAAAAGCACTTTTAGACATTAGAACATAAAGGATCCCAAACATACTACCAAGTTTCGAAATACCTAGTTAGGATTTGAAATAATTTAAAATCCGTTTAATAACATTTCCGTTTCTTATTTATTGTTTTCAATTTTTTAAAGAAATTTAAGCATTTTTGCAACTAACTATGTTTATTGTTTCTCATGTTAAAACATTCTCAAGATTATATAGAAATTTTAGAAAAAACCAACAAAGGTTTCTTCTTTCTCGTTCTCATTTCTAATTTTTCTAAAACACAAATAAAAAAATTTGTTTTATTCCATTTTATTAAAAGAATGAAAAACCAGAAACAAGAAATAGGAAGGTTATCAACGAGCCCTTAAATGTTACCTGTAAGAGTGGCATGAATATCATTCAAGTAGCTTGGTTTTGGATGAACGTTATTCGAATTGTTCTTAGCGTAGTTAGCTGTATAATAATTAACTCCAAGAAAATCAAACGAGTCTATGATCAAAATACTTTCTTCCTTTGTGAATTTGGGCAGTCTCTCGTCCACAAGAGTTCTCATACTGGTTGGATAATCTCCATAAACGAGTGGATGCAAAAACCTACGTGCAATTTTTGTGCAGTTATGTTGAGTAGTAATATAATAGAAAATTCAAAAGATTTTAAGGCAAATTAATAATGAATTTGTAAAGGCCTAACATGTACTTATTTACTTACCAACCAAGAGAAAATTCAAGAGCTCTATTCGTAGCTTTTTCATCTGCCTCACTATTTGAATATGGGACATACCAATCTGACACCAATGTTATGCCAATTGTACCATTTTGGTTTGCCTACAAAATCTCATATTATGACAATGGTTGAAACATAAGGAATAATTAAATTTGGCTTAATTAATAGCTAAAATTCCGGCATGCCAATTTGAGTATAGCTCAACTAGTTAAGACGTATATCTCCGGCCCAAAAATGTTGAGTGTGATTGTTTCATAATTGTAGTCGTCAACAAAATATGTTTTGTGACACTAAAACAATGTCACTAAAATCCTTTTTGTAACAAATAAAAACTGTCACTATAAAGGTATTTATGACCCTTAAAACTTGTCAATATATAGATTTATATGTAGGTTAAAATTGTCAATATTGATGGTTAAAATTTTCACTATAAAAGTTTTCATGACAGTTATAAATAATCATTATTATGTTCTTGACGTTTATAAATAGTCATTAAGCAATATTTTGTGACAATTATAAGCTGTCGTTAAAAAATTTGAGTATTCAACTTGTTAAAACATATACATCCGACTAAAAAATGTTGTGAGTTAAAATCCTCACCCTCTCTTGTTGTATTTAAGGAAAAAAAAATCAAAAGACTTCCGTTCAAATTACTAAAATATCATTTCAATCACATTTTGATTTTTTTTTCTTTTTTTTTTTTTACTATAATGAAA